CTCCATCCAAAGGTTCGGCGTTGACCGCTTGGAAAGTTACGATTTGGCATTGGAGCTGATGAAATCGACCGAAACATGTTGTTTGCAAGGATGATGTTCTAAGTGGAGTGATGTAGGCTCCTCTCGGTCTTCTGTCGGCCATCTTTACAGAGTTGCTAGTGACGTGTTGCCAACCAATGGAGGAAAAGCCGGACCTGAGAATCGGGGTCGGCGGCAGGGGCGGCAGCCCTTAAATATATATATATATATAATGGGGACCCTTAATTCTAGCACTTAACTTTGTTTCGGAATCAACGTTGGAACAAGAAAGCTTCTGGACTTGACAAACTGCAGCAAAAAGGAAGGCAACCAAAACTAAAACGCCTGCTTATAATCTCCACGGTGGACTGCTGCGATCGTGCCTGGCAAAAGGAAGTGCTCGATTTGGGGAATTCAAAAAACTACAATCACAACTCAGCAACCCGGCTGCAATCCGATGTTCATCGGCATAGGCCTCGGCAATTGAGGTCTGACTACACAGCGACAGCTGCGGAAAGCTAGGCCACCCCACCGCCTCCCGTCGGAAGCTACCTTCAAGGACTGCCCGCAAAGCGTAGCGGTCCACTTCATAGCTCCACGTACTACCAGGCCTCTTGAGTTCCTCAGCCTGGAGATTAGAAGCAAGTACAGCAGGTCAAAGGGTTCGAAAAAAGAGGAACAAAAGAGGTTAAGGCCCTCTTTACCTTGGTACCGCCTATTGTTCCTCTCTTCTGGACCGACCGTGAAAGGCTTTCGTAGGCTTTCGGACGCTTTCGTGGGCTTTGAAGTTTTGACGACCTGTGACTGTGACCTACGAAGCCCGCCTGAGTGACAAATTGCTGGTCTGCCTGCGTGACAGCTTCTACAGGGCCTGAGGTAGAAATACAAAACAAACACTCCACATGGCTTCACTGGAAGTGGGACCATAAAACAAGCTTTACCAGTACTGAATGGCTCCAAACTGCATTGAGTGCTGCACGGGAAGCTTTGCCAAACTTGGCAGCTGTTTGCTGTCGCAGGAGAACCTGAGAGACGTTGACGAACAAAAGGCCACCAAAAGGGCTGACTTTGTGCGTACAAAGGCAGACTGCTCCCTCTATCTTCATCGCGGGATAGGCTGTGTGTCGCTTCGAATTCGACAGAGTTTGGGCTCTCTTTGGACAGTCTGTCTGTGAAGTACTGTGTAGAAGTAGAAGCAAACAAGAGCACAAATGGTACACTTCTACAAGGTTGCAGCGAAAGCATACCGTCAATCAGTTGCACCTGAGACCCCGACCAACTGCTGAAGGAACAGTTCTTGCAGCATTGCCTTTGCAGAATTCAATTGGAGACAACTTTGTTCACAGAGAAACTACGTGGACAGTCTTCCTTCCTTGAGCAGCGTCATCGGTATGTCACAGGTATCCTGTCTGTCATATGAAGCAGGAGGATGTAACAGGTTTGGCACCCAAGACTATCTCTCCTAGCCCCTTTAGTCTCTCATCGGCTACGGCAGAGTTGCTTTCCTGCGACAAGTCCAGTCTGACAAGGATTTTGCCTTGCGTCGAAAATATTGATTTTGTCCAGAGAGCTGCTAAAAACACAGCCCCGGCCAAAGAAGGAAGAAAACTGTACCATCTGTCATCTGACCTGCTGGTATTCCCTCACGAAGGAGCCAAGGATTTCCCCTTCATGTAAGCACCACTTTCAATGTCTGGATGAGGCTGATGTTGGAATTGAACAAACCTCGGTTGGCCATTAAGCCTTTTTCTTTTAAGACCGGGGGGTAGGCCGCTAGAGGTAGGTAGTAGCTAGAGGTAGGTAGCTAGTAGAAGAGGTAGCTAGTAGCTTAAGTAGCTACTACTTAGGACGCAGGATAGCTCAGCTTCCTTGAAGAAGCGCTCGCACTAATGATTTGGTTTCTAGCTTTGTAGGGAAACTTAACACTCACCATGGTGATTTCCGCGCACGGGGCTGGCGGCTAGCAACTATAACTAATTGCAAAGACGGGAAACTGTTTGTCCAAATTTCCACCTTGGTTTGTCAAGACAGCAACAGCAGCAAGGTTGCCAGCACGATCAATGTAGTTCGGAGCACTGAAGACCGTAATGACATTTGGAATGGTCTCCTGAACAAGCAATGCGAGTCTTTGCTAGAAGTTCCATTACAAACAAGATCAAACAACTATGTAACATTGCTCCCAGTTCCCTAAACCTAGCTATCACTGCAATGGGAAGTGAAAGCACAATCGCATCAATTGGTTGTTTGTGCGGTCATCAACACCTATCGAACTAACTAGAGGCGTGCCTTTGTCACCTCCTCTGCGATTTCTCCACAAAACCGGTCAACATTGTTCGGACTGCTTTGGCATTGTTACCTACTAGTACTTGCGCTTGACCGAGACTTTACCTTTGTTCTTCCGAAAGCATGGCCAAGAGTTCTTGTGCGAATGGAGAAGGCAGGCAACATCTATGCATAAACATACTAGTAGCCTTGGCTAAGTCACATATATATGTCCTTAAACCCTTGCAAGGAATTGGCATTACCCATAACCTGGCATTGCATGCAAGTCATGATACGTGAGAAGACATTGTCCTGCATCCGTCTGCCATCAGACGTCCGATGACATCAGTATAAAGAAGATCACATCATGTGCAATCTGTATGCAATCAATGCAATCCAGCCTGAACCCTCTTTCATGTGACGTTTGTTTCTTGCAGGTTACTGTTGAATGCAGCAAACATCGGATGATCCATCAATAATAACTCGACTCCAGAGGCGAGGAGTCTGGTGAATCACTTCATTCGGCAAGTTTTACTTTGCAAAGGCAATTTCTCATCAAGTTTCCTCAAACGCCATCTCTAAACCTGACATGACCTTTTCTTCCCCTCCAGGCAGTGACCTGTGCCCTCGTCATGCAAAAAGCAATTCTTAAGCTGCCTGTTCCTTTCCTGTCACATGTGTTTCCTTCAAGAATTGTGTGCTCTTCTTCTCCCAAATTAAATGTGGCCTGTTCGATTCTGGTCCAAATGAATTTTCAAAACTGCATGTCAGCTTCTTAATCACTGCTTGGCCCACCAGGTGCTTGTCAGTGCGCCTTTTGTTTGTCTCTGATGTCGGTGTGTGCGTTGGGCTGTCGATGGAACGATGAAGATTCTGCAAGTGTTTGTGAGCTGTGCTTCGTATGTGATAGTTTTGGGATATCTAAAACTGCAAAGCCTCTCGAGCAGCCTCTCCTGGAAGCCAGCTGATTTAGTCTCATGCGATCTGAGCATGTACTTGAGGTTGTTTGCCTGTAGAAACCTCTGAGCAACATCTGGGCCGAAGGTGTAGACCATTGGCACTCGAGTGGAGGGGCCGTAGCCATTCGCACCTTTTGGATCTGACCACAAAAAGTCGATCACCAAAGGGAAGTCCATCGGATTTGGCTCACAAACCCGGTTGGTCGCCTGCAATGCAAAGCAAAGGAAGCATTTACCCGGTGATTTTTGCAAAGGCCACCATGTCCTGTACACGGTCCTGATGGGCCCTGGAAGCCTCTCTTCCCGGCCTCAATCTCAGCCAAAGTGACTTGCTGGTCACGTCTCAGCACTCCAGCTGCCTGTTGAGCAGAAGCAGATAGGAACCAGTTAGCATCAGTTGAAGTAAGTTAAAGCAACTATTTGTAGAATCAGTAGGTAATCCCGTGAGGTAAAGCATTTGTAGAATCTCCACTTCTGGCCGCCTCGTCTGGAGCCTTCTGCATCCAATCCTCCCAAAGACGTTCCTGAGGGCCTGGCACGCCTGCATGAGAAACGAAGACCTGCGACGATGGCGACCATTAAGGAACTAAGCCATCCACACTTGCGGACTGCAAGAAAGCTTCTGAAACCAAAGTCGCCAACGCACACAAGGAGTCACACGGAGTGACACTGGCAGTGAAGAATCCAGCACTTCAAGTAATTGCTACCTATCGCCGATCACCTTGCCTGGTTCTCAAGAACAGTTGCCAAAGGCAAATAACCTTGGAACTCCACAGACTTGACCGGGGCAGCCACTTCTGGGCTGTAAGAGGACATTTGCAGCAAGTTGTCCTGCTCTTTAGATTCTGAACGGGAAGAAACAGGAACGAAACGGAAACCAGAGCAAGTAACGGAAGGTTTCACTAAAAAGTTCCATCAATTTGTCCTCAGATCTGCAGGGCTCACACTCACTGACAAGCAGATTCTCAATTCTGGGCGTTGGTGAAAATGCAATGAAAATATATGGATGGCGAGGTTCTTCATACTTGACTTTGACCTCGTTAGCAAAGCCATACCTGGACCCAGCCAACAACAAGCAATGAAGCCTGGACCGATGTGAAATATGCGGAGGCTAATCTTTGGTGACCAGTTCAGCGTTGGTGCTATGCATTCGAGTTACTGGTAGTTGGTCATTTCTGACTCATGATTCCCACGGTTGAAGTGCACGGCCGTGGGGTATTGGAGCTTGAAGGCGTATAAGCAAAGCAAGACTTCAACAGACCACGGACCTCTATCCACGAAGTCTCCATTGAAGAGGATCGGATTTTGAGGGCTGGGCTTTCCTGTGACTTGCTCGATCATGTGGACAAAATCGAAATATTGCCCGTGTATATCACCAACAACAGTGATCCTCAGCACAAATCAATATCAAATCAGGAATGTGTTAAGAGCATCACAAAAGCGCTGAAACAACCCCAGAATGATCCGGAATGGGAAGCTCAGAACAATAAATCACAAAAGGACATCGAAAAGAATTGTGCTTTGGACATGTCAGAGGTCTTGCTTCCAGGGGGAACTGCGACTCTCTGCAGTGATTTTTCCTGCTTCAGAATATCCAAAACATCCAGCGCCATGAGATAGGAATATTTCATCGGTAGCTTTGCCTGCAGTGTCTCAGACCTACAAAATTCGATGCTCAATTGGGAAAAATGAATCTGCCCAGCCTGTGTTTTGTACATATTCAGCAAATGGTCCACAAATGCATCATTGACCGAGCTCGGGCCATTGTAAGGTGGTCCAGTGTAGTCGGGAGGAACCGGCAGGCTTTGAGCATAAGCACGGAGGTCTGCACCTGAAGTGCAAGTGTGGAGATCATTAGTTAATGTAGGGTTCGCAAATCATTGACCTCAAGCTGTGTTTGCAACTCTGAGATCTCTTAGGTCTGTTTCTTCTTATTTGACTTCTGACTGCCCAAAACACCGCTGCCTATGGCCATGCGGAGTACACGTGGCTTGACGCCAGCACCTGTGGACCTTGAAGTGCTCCGGTAGCCAGTGCTACCATGCCCGCTGGTCAAGCTTTGCCCTGCCAAAGGGATCAATGGTGGCCCCACCCATGCCGGCCATGGCCATGCCCTGCTTGAAAGCACTAAAACAAGGCTAAGAATACTAAGGCGGAGAGCCTCCGCTCGCGCTCGAGAGCGCCCTGCCATCTTTCAAAGTCACAAGCAAACTGAGCCAAGATTCAGTCGACGGTGTCATTTCAGAGGGTAAGTTCTGTGTCTGCACCTCTTTGAAAGAGTTCGTCATGTTTTTTCCACAAAAAGCTGTCTCTTGTATACATGAACCTCCAGTGTCCAGCAGCAGCTTGCAGCGGACTTAAGAAGAGTTGTCTGCTATATCAAGCTGGATCTAGCATTGGCGTATATAACATGAACAAACCGATGTTTCCAGTATTGCAGTAGATCCATATTTCACAAGTTTTTTTGACTTGTGGTGTTGATGGCCCAAGCCCCGCCGTTCGCCAAGAACATCCAAGGACGAACCAATATGTTTGCAATCAGGCATGTTGCTAAGTGTCCAAACGTCCTTAGGATAGTAATCAGGGTCAACAGCTGATAGTCTTATGCTGCAGTGGCCTGGTTCCCGCAGCAGAAGAATATATATATATATCATTTTGTCCACCCGTGACACGTCGTGACCCCGGAGGGACCTTCGGCTTGAGGAAAGAAGAGCCCGCTCGGCGCCCCGCGGTTGGGGCGGACACTCCGCAATTGGTAACGGTGCCCGGAAAGCCCGGGCTCCGAAGCCATGGCTTGTTGGTGATCCTGCGGTCAGGATCCGCACCCGTGACATGTCTGCTGCGGCCTCGGAGGCCGCCCCTTTGCGCTTCTCCGGAGAGAATGAGGATGGAAGAGAATACAAGAGATGGAAGACTTGGGTAAAGAACAAGCTCTTGACCCTGGACAAGTTACCTGAAACTGCTCGAGGAGCCTATATATACACGTTGTTGGCTGGCAAGGCCTTGGAGGCTGTTGAACACCTGGATCCTGGCGACTATCAGAAGAAGGATGGCGACCAGGTCCTGTGGTCGTTGCTGGACAAAAGGT